CTATTTTATCTGACTTAATTTAAAATTGATAAAAAAATTTAAAAAAATTATTATCCGAAATAAATTTTCGTATATTTGTGTGACTATAGATTATTTGATTAAGAGGAAAATAGATATGGTAAAATAAAATTATTACTAAATATATAAAATTTTGTCAATATTTAGATCGTATTTAAAAAAAAGTAAATGATATAAAGTGAAATAGAGAAGTAATATATATTTCTTTCTGTTCGATTTTAGCTTTCGCTTTAGTTATTTTCGCATTCATTAAAATAAAGGTATAAGGTGTAATTTATTAAATTATTCTTGTTTATAAGAATTTTTTTTTACAATTGTCAACTTTAGCTTTAAATTTCAAAAGTGACAACTTTAGCTCTTTTCACATCTATTAGAAATAAATAATAAACATAAGGTATATTTTCTTAAATCGTTTATATTTATTAGATATTTTTTTAGAATTATCTCTGTGTTATTTGGGGTAGTTAAAACAATTATAAACTTTAATTTTTGAAATTTTTTTTAAAAACTTTTTAAAGCTAAAAGGACCGTTAAAACAAATAAAACCTCCATTTTCAAATTATTTTATTGTGTTTTTCTTTTTTATAAAAAATTAATTAGAAGGTGTTTTATTTTATTCTTATTTATATTTTTAATATATATATAAACTCTTTTCGTTGAGTATTGACCCTATTAAGGTGTTTATAGGCTTAAAAAAAACTTACCTCTAGAAGCAAAATTAAAAAAAATACTAATTAATCAATTTAATCTTTTAACTTCTAAAACGATGTATTAGAAGTATTCAAAGAACAAATTAAAATTGCCAACCTAATAAATTCTGACTAAAATTAAATGATAGTCAAAGTCAAGTCTATATGTTATTATTATTTTCTATCGAAGGTTCCTTCGAGTCAAAAATTGGACGCTATGTTTACCTTATTGGACCAAAATTTATTTTTTCATCGTAATACGTAACTTAATAATTTTTCGATGAATTTTCTATCAAAAGTTTCATATTTTCGATATGATATTTATAGACTTCTTTAATAGTAACTTTCATTCTCAGAATTTGTGTAAGAATAATTTTCTTTTTATCGTCTGTGGAACAAAGAAATAATACTAAATAAATTAAAATTGATCGTATAATCTTGAGATATTATATTTAAATTCATCTCAAAGTCAATATTAATAAAATAATAAATAAAATTATTATAAGTTTACTTGGAAATGAAATGAATAAAGGAATAAATAAATAAATATATTCCATTTTGTTTGATTTTCTAACTCATGTCATTTTCACTTGGAAATAATTGATATCTACTGATTAGTTTATTTATGATTAATTAATCTACTGATTAGCTTAATTATCAGGCCATTAAAAACAAGAGGTTTCTTAGAAAATACTTCATTTTTTTCTTTTTTTTTATGTTAAAAGATTTTTATAAAACTATGAAAGGGAAAGGCATTATTTTACTTTTACAAAAAAGATGTTTTTTTTAAGAGTCAAATGACTATAGTATTTTTTTATTTTATTATCTTTTTAACATTTAAAATTGTATATATAATATACTAAAATGTTTAAATCTTTTATAAAATCTCCATTTCACATAGAAAAAAATAGTGCAGCCTTAAATAATATAAATTTTAATTTATCGGACTCTAATACAGATAGTAAATAATTAGAAAATCAAAAATATTTTGTGAAAGTTATGAGTTCAACTTTTTTTTTTCTCATTTGTTACTTCAGAGGTCAATTTAGAGACACTAAAATCGATGCAAATTACTTGTGTTTTCAAACGGCGTATTCAACCCGTGGTTGAAAATTCCAAATGAATATAATTGTTTATATTATTGAAAATATTTTTAAATTTGATAGGTACAAAATTAATTTCATTTTTAAATTATTGATCGACTTAAAAACACCTTTTTATGTAATTAATTAAATTTAAATTATAAATATAGTCTCAATCTGTAACATGCCATAGCAAGTTAACTCAAACTCTCGTAGAAATATGATATTCTTAATAAAAAGTCGAGTAAATGTCGAAAAAAAACATAAACTTGACAAGAATGTACGAGTGTATTTCATTAATATGACAAGATTAGAGTTGTAATTAAGTTCAGTTAATCAAGTGGAGAGATACTTTTAAAGTTGTTAATAGCTTAAGGACGAAACAAATAATTTAGGTTAAATTTAAATTTTTTTTAATATTAATCTCCTCTACTTAAATTAAAAAGGCAAAATCTTCTATTTTTAACAAAGCATTATGTAATATAAATTTAAATTAACTAATTTCAGAATAAGTACCGAATATCGAACAAAATCAAAAAAGTTTTGAACCACAAAATGATCCAACCATTTACGTAAGAAACCACTAATTTGACTACCACAATATCATATTATAACTTTCACCAAAAACATTATATACAAATGTATCAAGACAATGAGGGCCTTTATCTAATTTATCTTTCTTGACCCTATGATAAGGTAAAGAAAATTTCTTCTATATAGAAAATAAAAAATATAATAGTTATTATTTCTAGAAACATTGAATAATGCTTATTAATTATCTACTACTATATAGTTTTATATTAACACGAAAATATTTGTTTTCCCCTTTGTGTCGTATGACGTGATCTAACTCTAAAGAAATGTCATATTCGATTAGTTAAAATTTTTAAAAATATATTATTTTTAGTGAAATCAGAGAACACAAGTACTACAAATGATATTCGTACATTAATCATATCATCAGCATCCCTAACACATCTTATATCTAATCAACCCCCTTAGTATTAATGTAGATTATATAAAAATATTTTTATAATAATTTTCTTTTATCTACGTACCAGACTCATCGAATAATTATTTTCTTCCCTACCAAACACACCCTTAATGTCAAATATTTGTTTTCAAAAACCAAAACATGCCCCCATATCAAGAAAATTGAGAAACCCACCGTTAAAATAATGCATGCCTCCAAAATAGACATGTCACAATTTGGTTATTAGTTGTAGCTACTTTCTAGTAGAATCAAATAAACACTTATCTTTTTAATATTAAAAAATATTATACTTTCGATATATGTCTAGAAAGTTATTTATGAAATTTCAAGGTGTTTCAAATATAAAGAAAGATTGAATTTATGATTGTCGAATTTAAACTGTTAGCATATGCATAATGGCGGAGAGATGATGATTGCGCATGAATAATAATAATAATATATTAAATGTAATTTCATCGCTGAAATTTAATTTTCGATGGTATAAACTGTTAATCATGATTTTAATTATTTTTGTTTTTAAAAATAATTTGAAGGTGTATAAACGAGGCCTAGCACTATTTTGGGGCAATTTTTAGTGTTTAAGGTGCATTTTAAAGGCCCAATTACTTGTATGTGTCTCTAGTGGGCCTAGAACATTAGTAATGTTAGCACTTTTTGATTGACAAAATCTATAAATAAAAGGGAAAATGGCGTAAAATAACAAATTATTTAAGTAAAATTAAATGTTATAATTATAGTTTTATATAATTTTAATTCGTAGCAAACATTTTGTCATTTACTTCTCTCCCCTGATTTCTCGCTCGCCACTCTCATGATCTCGCTCGCTACTCTCTATTACCTCTCTCACTTTATACAAATACAAATGTATAAAATATATTTGTATTTGTATAAAGCGAGAGAAAATTTTATATATATATATATATATATA